AAGAATCAATACTAGACATATTCAGGCAGTTTACCACGTATTTTCATATGTGCAGATTGCCATGATATTTTAAAGTAGCCGTGTATTTATTTTGTCGTAAGTGGACGCAACCACGATTTACGTTAAACACAATTAATATAGAAATAAATTTTAAATGCTGGTATCGGTCATGAATTGAATACTTGGCGCAACAAAAAATTCATTTTCTGCTGTTTTGAGAAGTGGCAAAATTTCCAACTTCGTACTACGCGAAGGAACGAAAAAATCGAGCGGGCGTCATTATCCGCACTTTAGAACTTACGCCGAAATTGAGAAAAACAATTTGATTACAACACTAAAAGAAAACGACATGGACATCCCTGGTCATTGAGTCTTGAGTATATATTCATGAGATAAAAAACCCAAAAATCATTTGCAACAGTGACTTTTAAAGTAAATTATTAGGGGCTGTGGCAATATCGCGGATATCGCAAACTTTAAAATTTAACCTTATTTTAGTAATTGTCATGTCTTTATATTAAATCCGAAGTAGCATGTTAACGACTGGCATATTCATATCAGGCTACGGTAAAATATTCAAAGTGCCTCTGTTGTTTTTTATATGACGCTTACTCGGGTCTTCCGCTCCTAAGAAGGCTCTGTAAAAGCAGCCACTGAAAGACAAGAATCTACCTAATTCGTTACCCCTTCGGTGAGATGGTGGGCATGGGATTTTACCACGATTTGCGAAACTCGCGATGATAAAAACCTTGTCTAGCCTGGTATACTGGGGCCATTTCGTATCGTCTCTTTTTCATTATCGTCAACCATTGAGCCCTAAAACGACCCTCATGGCTTTTTAAAAGCGTTTTCTGGAGTTCTCTTCCGTGAGGTGACACATTTTCCAAAATATGCGATCGTATGTCCAGAAACTTGTAGAAATCAACCTTGAATGTTATTGCGTCTGATTTTTCATTTTACTTTGAACGTTTTCTTGTGGTATTTTTCAACAAACAATAACACAACCATTATCATAGCTGAAATGGTTACCGAGAAATTTACAATTGTATTTGCGGAATTTGCAAATTCAACACTTCACTCGACGATTTGATGAAGTCATGCTCTAGTTATTACTGCATAAAAGCTTCGAACAGCAGCGAAGGTAATAACTGTCGAACGCAATTGGCGCAGCAAGTCGTAAACAACCCAATGTATGTCGTCACAGCGACATTTTTCTCACCCAACTTCCATGTGTGGTAGAAAAAAATCTTTTTCTTAAAACATGGATGAAATGGATCACTAAAATTACATACTAAGTCAATACAAAGTCATTATAACGGTGTTATCTGCCGTAATTCCTATCTGGGTTACAAGTTATTCATACCAGCTTTTCAGAGGTCTGAATCAACATTTTCAAATCGATGCTATTTATACTTCGGACAGTTTCTAGCGATGCTATAGCGTTTCATTGCTTGTGTTTACTGCAGACCATTGAGGGTTGCAATTCTTGGCGGGCGGAACATTTTTTTCAAGAAAATTTAAAAATCGAACGGTTGGCTGATAAATCACATTTTTCACTAAGATCATAATTTGAAATTTTATACTTTAAATAGCGAGCGAACAGTACAAGACTCAAGTCGTCTTACTTGGACAAAAATGACATTTTATGTGACATTCTTGTTGCATTACGCTCGATAAATTTTTGACATCAGGTGACACTTTTGATGAAGCCTAGATTAGAACATTTTTTTTAAATTGGCATCACTAATAGTTCTGTGCTTGTTCTTTGTAATGTTCATTTTCAAAATAATTGTTCCCACGCATATGTGCTTCCAAACATCGATGTACATTCTTTCGCATGGTTTGTCAAAGTTGGATAGAGATTTCCTTCAAAAAGATACTTTTTATACAAATCAAACATTCACACATCTCTCGAATAGAAAGTAGATTTTAATTCCTCATTGCATTGGATCTTAAGAAGCTCTATTTAAATATTTTGTATAACCGTTTCCACGTTAGCATCAAACGGATCACTAAACAGACTGAAAGGTTCAATGACAATTCAAGAGAACGAAAGTCATTGAAGCATGAGGAAAAATCGTTTTGGAACTCCCGTATTACAGAAAAAAAACATTATAATTCCATCCATAATTCCACTCCACATATCATTCCACTTCGTGTCCAATAATCTGGTCCTCGAACGTAGAAAAAAATAAATTATGATTAAAATCCGCAGCCGCCAAATTTGAATAAAGCGGGCCGGATTATTTTACTCCGCGGGCCGTGAGTTGGGTTCAACTGTGTTGCCATTATACGTCTCTTCTATAAATTTTCCATCATCTCACCCAGGGTAAAAGAATGCGCAGACAAAAGCCGAATTGGAAAGATTCCGTTGCATCCTAGAGTATTGGAATTCACACATCGTTAGATATTAGTGGCTGCTTGTCACACAACGTTCGGAGCGAAAGGTTCAAATAAGGATCGTATAAAAGCAATATTTGTACAAGTGTGCCGCATTTTTTTTATTTGCTTAGTGCGCCGCAAGCAAAAAAAGTTTGAGAACCACTGCTCTAATCGCTAGGTCATCGATGCCGACAAATTTTAATACTGAGTCTATCAATTTCTAAGGTAACATATCGTAGCATATTTATACGTTTCTGACTAAAGACAAACTCTTCAATCTTTTTAGAGAGACAAGAATCTACCCAATTCGTCACACCTTGGGTGAGATGGTGGGCGTGGGATTTGAACCCGATTTGTAAAACTCGCGTAATTTTGTAAAGCTGGGTTGCTTTGCTTGCGAGAAGTGAAGTGTTGAATTTGCAAATTCCGTAAATAAAATTGTGAATTTTCCGGTAACGATTTCAGCTATAATAATAATGTTCGCGGTATTGTTCCGTTGGAAAAGAAAACGTTAAAACTTGAGGTGATTAATTCTAATCAGCGTTTTCCCTTCTACTAGGCACAAGAGCAATTGGGCACAAAATTGTTTACAACTTTTTTGGCATCAGGTCGCGCATGTAAGATATCGTTAAAGAAGTGCTCTTCATCGTCATCTCACCTAATGATCACGTAGAAATGCCTTTATTTCAGCTTTTAAATCAACATTCAGGATTCACGCAATCACAGATTTATTAATTGAGTATCTAATTGATTTATTTCGGAGATAACACTGACACCAATGTGGTGCATAAGAAACTCAATTATCGTCTTAACCCGTTGTCGATAATGATAAAATTATTCGCTTAAAACTGTGACGTTAGCTCGAAGCTGGCGCAAAAGATAAATATCAGAATAATATTAAGTTGGGATTTAAAATCGCTCCCTCATGTCATTAACATCTGTCGTCGATGTGAACGCCGCCGATCGGCAAGGATTAATACTTGCGCACAAGAACAAAGGCGGTAATATGAAAACGTTCAGGGGGCGAAAAAGTAGCGATTATGACGGAAATAAACAGTAAAAATCGCTTTGTTACCAATTTTCAATGTTTCTATTAATTTCCAAATCGACCCGCGATCTTCTGGACTCCTGTTGCGTATAACAAAAAAACGCGAGAAATTGATAGCCGTTGAGAAAGAGCTGCGTGTTTGTCTCTCTTCAATTAAAGCTAGAATAAAATATTTGAAAGTCATCGAAACAGGTCCAAATATCACTTTAAAATACCATTTCTGTTTCTAACTAATCATTATAGTACTCATAAGCAAACTCGCAAAAACATTTATTTGTACCGTACTTTAGCTCTTGTGACTCTGAATCGGAATGTGTCACGTCTTTTCCAGCTTAAGTTGATAAGCTATATTATTAATTTCGTTTTTTTATTTACATGTCGAAATGATCGATGTCAGTTAATTGCATAATGTAGTTTATTTCCAAAAATCTCATTTGGTGTTCCGCCACAATTTTAGATTAAAAAAAGTGTTCCGCGGTACAAAAAAGGTTGAAAATCACTGTACTACACATCTACAGTATCACCCGAAATTTTGCGATTTGCAATGTCTAATGAAGCGTTTTTTATCGGTCGCGTACAATCATAAAACGAAAGTTATGGTGTTCTCCGTTTTATTTTTAGTATTTTGTATTGCCGCTTTTCAATTCAGACAATTTGGGTTGCCACCATTGACAAGTACTAGAAAAAATTTATTCCTCGTTGTTCGAACTCGCGAGAAACACCACGCGTGTGCTCGAGTTGAATATTCGAATATATGCACAGCCATACTCAGTAACTAGTAATAATTGACTATATTTGAATGAACTTGTTTTTTATATTTTATGTGAATTTAAACGTAAATCGTAACTTGGCTGATAGTTAACTTTCGCAAAAACGTTTGCGACCTTGCGGACTCATTCAAACGCTACGCGGACTCATTTGAGACCGCGGACTCGGGTTGGAAAACGCTGGTTTAAACCATCGGCAATATGATTAGACAAAAAATCGATTTTTTTTTTCGACCATAATTTTTCTAGTCGTATCATGATCAAACAGAACCACAGCACTTCTGACTTCAAGAAATGATCAACATTTTCACACCAAACGTTCACTTACGACTTTTTACGTCATAAAAAATTTCCAAACCACGGCTCTTATCAAGCAACAACTGATATGTATTTGACTTTTTATTTCTAAGAAGATGACATATTTTCCGGTTCAACATTGGCTCCGAATTTCAATTACAGATTGAAGATGTCAAAGCAAAATACAAGAGACCGAGATAATGTCATGAATATCGCAAATAAAAACTTCATTTTGACAATTGTCTTATTTTGGAATGATTTTTATTAAATTGTTTCCCACTCAACATAAGAACGGTTTATTTAACCCCGTGACCATTTTGATTATACGGATGCGCTTACTTAATTAGAACAAAAACCAGAATGGTTGTCATTCGAATTGTTTATTTAAAACAATTTATAAAATTGAAAAAATTGAGATATTATCTTTTTCCAAAACATATAAACTATCAACTACCCTATAATCGCAGCAAAACTATTTATGATTTTCCAAACTTATTTATATTCAGTTGAAGAAACTTGACGTCTGGGGAAACGAATCCTTGGGAGTGGAAGGTGTTTCTCATCTCGCATCTGTCGTTTTACAATGTGAAGTCGAAGATGTCAACATGAGCGACTGCGGACTGACAGCTGAAGCAATGGAAGGATTCAAAAACAATACTCGTGGTGCCAAGGTGAAATTGAGATTGATCTCGATTATTTATTTTCGCCTTTTACTGGTGAGCCTTTGCGTGGAAACGACCCTTTGAATATCGACAGAATAACCTACTGCTCTTGCTGACGTACAAAAACATTAAATTTGAGACTCATTTGGCCATCGTTTCAATATTAATTTTGCATCAAGCACGCCGACGACGCCGTTTTATAGATTGAGCAATGTCAAAGAAGATAATAAGATATTCTAGGCATTTTTCGCTAAATTTAGGGATAGAAATATTTTACTGGCCGACATTTTGACTCAAAATAGCATTCAGGATTCACGCGATGCCGACTTTGCATAGTTTTTATTCTATGCAGGAATAACACAGACAAGGTAGAAAAGTAAACTATCGTCTTCATGAATATCCGCATTCCTGAGCCAGTGAAGATAATATTGTTAACGTTTTTAAAATTCGGACAGTCAATTCACAAACGCTGATAATAGAAATCAAACAAACGCAAAACATAAAAATCAGAATAAAAGTAGTTGAGTCCTGAATTCCCTCCATGATAATTGTCTTTAACATACGTCACCGATGTGGACTCTTATTCTGCCAGAAATATAAAAACCAAACTTCGACATCCGCCGTTGCGTGAGAATTAGTACTTGTGTAAGAAAAAGAAAATGGTGGAAAAGCTAGCTTACAAACATTAGGATGGCTAACGTTCTGGACTCCTGTTATATATTTAAAATATTCGGTAATCGATAGAAATATTTGAATTATTCGGGTTGATGAAAATATTTGATTTTCTCCACCCTAGCTATCTTTAATCACGCCGGTATTCCAGTGAAACGCATGGTCGTTGTAGCTCTTGATGAAATTTAATAGGACCTTTATTAAATTTAGTAAATTGCACCCAATAAAATGCATGGTGGAGTCGGCGATCATTTTACATCTTGAGCACTAAAACAGTTGTATTTTAGGTCATTTCTGTGGTCTGAAAAACCTATTTTAATCAGTGTTTCGATGTCTTTCGCGAAAAATAAACGTTACGATGTAGTAAAGTCGATGATCTTTACCATCAAATTATCCTCGGACTCTGCAAGGTGTCCGCCCTTGATTGTAAGTAAGCGCGATAGAATAGCAGTTGAAGTGGTGGGACTAAACTGTGTGGCCAACGAGGTTACACATCTCTGGTTTAATCCAATTTTTATTATCTCAAACAGGGTGAAAAATGCGCAGACAAAGCCGAATTTGGAAAATCCCGTTTCTTCCTAAAATAGTTGCCTTTAAATATCGTTAGATATCATTGGCTGCTTATACATGGCTTTGTTCGTAGAGAAAGGTTTAAATAGGTGTCCTATGGAAATCTCTATTGTGGTCTTTACAGAATTCCCGTCACAGGTATCTTAGTTACAAAATAACAATGTAAAACCCAAACTACGCCCATCTATAGCGATTTTATAGTTACGTATCGTTGCGATAACCTCACACTTATTTACGAAATTCTGACTGTCAGAAATTCACAAAGCATTGCATTAGTTTGCTAGGCATTGTGCGCAATTGAACCTTCACCATGAGCATACAACCCGTCGTGTAAGAAGAAGCAATCAAAATACATCGAGAAATATATCAAAAGATAGCGGATAAACACATGAATTCGTCGCAAACGATGAATTTCATTATCTGAAAACAAAATCTTAAACTATTTGAAGAGAAATTCCAGAGGCCGTGATAATGTAACGTATATCACAAATAAATTTCAACTATTTTGAGGATGATCCCAAAGTATGTGTACCAAGACGGCACACAACCTGAACATAGCATCAGTACCAGGTCAGGGTTAGCAGGTTGTGCGCCATTCGATAAGAATACTACGGGAACACCATTTTGAGAGCTGTAATGTTTCGGGAAATTTGGATTTCTAACTTGCTACGCCAACATAGTTGAGCCCATGAAATTATGAAATCAACATTTTGAATTAATTATTTTTGTTATTCCTAACCGCTAGGTCATCCACACCGACAAAGTTGGATACTAAGAAAGTACCGTATATCAATTTCGACAGTAACATATGGTAACGATTAGCGCATATTTATACGTTTCTGACTAAAGACAAACTCTCTAAGTGTTTCATTTGTACGAAAGGCATTATTCTCCGCAATCAAAAATTCAGAATAAACAAAGAACCAAATGAACAGTTTTATTGTATTATGTCAAAGTGGGCTAAATAGTCCATATTGTAAAGAATATTCAACGATCCATAATTTATTGATTTTCTCACGAGCCTTAAAGACTTGTCTGTAATGTATCCCTAGTCCAATATTTATACCAATAGACATCCTATTTCAATACGGTACTTCAACATAGCCTATGTACAAATACATAGGCATTTTTACGATTTTCAATTGAGTAAATATTGTGTTATAAATACCAATCTGAATGTTACCGTAATTCTGAATACGAACCATGCTACTTTCACTCCGCCTTACTTATCATCCGACCAAAGTTACCGGTACCCTCTGTGACGTTTATCGTCTTCATGGAATAGGAAATAGGACATTCAAATAGTTTAATGAGATGGGTGCACCTTCTTGGCTCTCACTAGTTATTCTACCTTGGGTTCTGTTTTGGATAATGCAACTCTCATATCGTGTCTCACGTCCATTCTGTTTCAACATTTTGTTATAATAGCGAGTAACGTAGGAAAAGCTACTGCACGTTCGTAAGTTGTTGCAAATGGAATGAGCATGTTCAGTGCCATTTTACCGACATCGTGATAGAACGGTGCCACTGTGGTTTTTCTTTCTTCCAGAACTCATCAAAGCAAAACCGAGTTTTACACACCAATCTTTATATCTAAATTTATTTTTTACGGCAGGGAGGGGGGGGGGGCATTTTCAAATTATTCCGAGAAAATGTACAATCAGCTGCACACGGCTTCCATAAACAGTACGCTCTGATTTACGGTACTTGCCACGTTCAAGAACGTTGGTTACGTAATAATGCCTTCGGTAGAGCGTGTCGTGCTTTGGATAAACACTGTAAAAGCATGACATCAAAATCATGAGTTGAATACCTGGTGCAACTAAAAAATCATTGTCCACTGGAAATGTAGGCAATGGCGTGATCGTGATTACTGTTTCATAAGCTGTTGCATGTGTAATACCGATTTCGAACTACGAGGGGGAAACAGAAATATTTGCGTCTCCGCATGTTATGCGCACTCCAAAAATCACGATTAACCAAAATTGAGAAATACTAATCGAATATTACGCTATACGAAAACGGTAAGAACATCCCTGATCACTGAGTTTTAAATATATATTCATGAGATAAAAAATATCGTAAATTATTTGCAACAGTGACTTTAAAAAATAACAACGCAAAATACTAGAGGTTGTGGCAATATCACGATTATCGAAAATTTTGAAATGTAACTTCATTTTAATAATTGTCATGCCTTTATATTTTATCAGAAGTAGCATGATACTACTGGCATATTCATTTCATCCTGACTACGGTGAAATATTACAAAGGGCTAAGTTGTTTTTTTAAAGGACACATGCACGTCTTACCCGCGTCTTTCGCTTCTAACAAGGTTCTGTAAAAGCAGCTACTGACATCCAACAATATGTGAGAATATGCGACCGTGTGTCCAAAAACTTGTAGAAATCAACCTTGAATGTTATTGCGTCTGATCTTTCATTATAATTTGATCGTTTCCTTGTGTTCCTTTCCAACAAAATAATAACACAACCATTATTATAGCTAAAATAGTTACCGAGAAAATCACAATTGTATTTGCGGAATTTGCAAATTTAACACTTCACTCGACGATTTGATGACGTCACTCCCTATTTATTACTGCATAAAAGCTTCGAACAGCAGAGAATGTAATATTTGTCGACCGCAATTGGCGCAGTAAATCGTAAACAAATCCATGTGTGTCGTCACAAGGACATTCACGAATGGTTTTACGTTCTATTCTTATTTACATTTTTATCACCCAACTTCCATGTGTGGTAGAAAAATTCTTTTTCTGAGAACATGAATGAAATGGATCACTAAAATTACATGCTAAGCCAATACAAAGTCATTATAACTGAGTTATCTGCCGTCATTCTTATCTGGGTTACAAGTTATTCATACCAGCTTTTCGGAGGTCAGAATCAACATTTTCAAAGCGTTGCTATTTATACGTCGGACAGTTTCTGGCGATGCAATAGCGTTTCATTGCTTGTGTTTACTACAGACCATTGAAGGTTGCAATTCTTGGCGGGCCGAACATATTTTTTCACGAAAATTGAAAAATCGAACGGGTGACTGATAAATCACATTTTTTACTAAGATCATAAGTTGAAACTCTATACTTTAAATAGCGAGCGAACATTACAAGACTCAAGTCGTCTTACTAGGACAAAAATGAAATTTAATGTGACACTTCTTGTTGCATTACGCTCGATAAATTTTTGACATCAGGTGACACATTTGATGAAGCCTAGATTAGAATATTATTTAAATTGGCATCACTAATAGTTCTGTGCTCGTTCTTTGTAATGTTCAGTTTCAAAATAATTATTCCCACGCATATGTGCTTTCAAATATCGATGTAGATTTTTTTCGCCTGGTTTGTCAAATTTGGATAGAGATTTCATTCAAAAAGATAATTTTTATACAAATCAAACATTCACACATCTCTCGAATAAAAAGTGGATTTTATTTGCTCATTGCGTGGGATCTTAAGAAGCTCTATTTGAATATTTTCTTTAACCGTTTCCACGTTAGCATCAAACGGAGTACTAAACAGACTGAACTCGTTTTCAAGAGAAAGAAAGTCAGCGAATCAGGAGGAAAAATCGTTTCGGAACTCCCGTATTACAGAAAAAAAAACATTATAACAAAAACCATTCATAAGTTCACACCATGTCCAATAATCTGATCCTCGAACGTAGAAAAAATTAAATCAGAATCAACGCAGGCCGGATTATTTTACTCCGCGGGCCGTGGGTTGCCGACCCCTAAGTTAGAGA